TTTTAAAATTATCTTTTTATTATTCCCTTTTATTTTAAATGTAATTTTAATTATTCCTTTTTACTTGAGATTTATCTTTTTGTTGTTTCTTTTATTTTGAGTTTAATGTTAATTATTTTTTTGAACTTAATTTTAATTGTTTATTTTGAATTTAGTCTTAATTCTTTGTTTATTTTAAATGCAATTTTAATTGTTTATTTAAATCTGATCTTAGTTATATTTAATTATTTTAAATTCAATTTTAATTATTTATTTATTTTGAATTCAATCTTAATTATATTTATTATTTTAAATTTAATCTTAATTACTTATTTATTTTAAATTCAATTTATTTTTAAACATTTAATTTCTCTCTTTCGCGTTTTTGCTGCTGCTCTTCTCAAACAAAAGCCCATCCAACCAAACAAGTTAAATAACTAAACAATTGAATAACTATTTAATTAATTAATATTATTTATTCATCTATTTATTTATATTTATTCATTTATTTATTTATTTATTTATGTTTATTTATTTCTATTTATTTTTATTTATTTATTTATTTATTTGTTTGTTTTATTTGCAGACTTGTTGTTGGGGGCAGTTACATAGCGCTGGAGTGTGCGGGTTTTCTGCAGCAGTTGGGGTACGAGGTGGGTTGAGTTTGGGCTTTTTGGGGGTCAAATTTGTGGCCGAAACCATTTTTTGGGTCGAAATTAAATTTTGAATTCGAAAATCACGTCGAAAAGTCCGTCAAACCGCGAAAAGCGGTTCGTTTTGGCGTTGAAACGCGGGAAAACCTCGGAAGGGCCCCCCGGGACCTTTCGCACGCGCGGCGGGGCCCCACACCTCGTTTTTCGCCGATTTTTCCCGCGCCAGGGCCCCCCAAAGGCCCGCCAGTCGGGGCCTCCAAACGGAACCTTCTGGAGTTCCAAATTCTGCATTTACAGCTCCTTTTGGCGGCGTTTCAGGCGACGGTGGCGGTGCGGTCGGTGGTGCTGCGGGGCTTCGACCGGCAGTGCGCGGCGAAGGTGCAGCAGAACCTGGAGGAGATCGGCGTCGAGTTTCTGGAAGGTTTCGTCGTGGAAAAGATCCAAAAAGAGGAATCTGGAGCTCTTTGGGAGGCGCGGGAGGCCGCGGGGGCTGCGGAGACCCCCGCAGCTGCAAAGAGCGCGAAAAATGACCCCAAAAAGCTTTTGGTTTTTCTCAAAAACTCCCAAAACGGCTCTTCCCTCGCCCTCCGCTTCGACACGGTTCTCTACGCCACCGGCCGGGACGCAGACACCAAACTCCTCAGTCCGCAGCTGCTCTTTTCTTTCTTTTCGTCTCTTTTGGGTCTCTTTTTGCTCTCTTTTGGGTCTCTTTTTGCTCTCTTTTGGGTCTCCTTTTTGTTCCCTTTTGCTCTCCTTTTGGTCGCTGTGTTGTCTGCTTCGCTGGCTCGTTTTTCGCTCCTTTTTGGCTCTTTTCCGGCTCTTTTCGGCTCCCTTTTGGCTCTTTTCTGGCTCTTTTTTTATCCCTTTTTGGCTTTTTGCGGCTCCTTCGGGGCTCCTTTTTGGGTCTTTTGTTTCTCCTTTTTGGCTCTTTTTTGGGCCCCTTTATGGGTCCTTTTGGGCTTCTTTTTGGGCCTTTTCTGGATCCACTTTGGCTCCTTTTTGGATCTTTTTGGGTCCTCTTTGGGTCCTTGTTGTCGCACTTTTTTCCCCTTTTTGAAAGCACTTTTGTCTCTTTTTCTCTCTTTTTTCTCTCCTTTTTTCTCTTTTTTTCTCTCTTTTTTTCTACCTTTTTTCTCTCCTTTTCCTTCTTGTTTTCTTTCTTTGTGTCTCCTTTTTAGCTCCTTTTTATCTCCTTTTGAGCATCTTCTTTGTCTCCTATTTGTTCATTTAACTACATGCATCCAACTAAATTTATCCAATTATATTTATTTAATTACATTTATTATTTAATATTTGTTTATTATTTATTTATTTATTTATTTATTTATTTATTTATTTATTTATTTATTTATTTCAGACTTGGAGGCGTTGGGAATAGAAACTGGCGAAAAGGGAAAAATCATTTGCGACAAATTCGCCGCCACAAAAGTGCCATCAATATTTGCAGTTGGTAAAAATAAATAAATAGATAAAAATAAATAAATAAATATAAATAAATAAATTAAAAAAATAAATAAATGTTTAGTTCAATTTAATTAGTTTGATTTAATTTACTTCGTTTTAGTTTTTAAAAAATTGTCGAAGGAGTTTGAGGGGGCAGTTGAAAGGAAACAAATTAAAGCAATAAATTAATTTAATTGTATCATTGTTTAATTATTTAATTTAATTAATTATCTAATTGATTTAATTAATTATTTAATTAATCTAATTAATTATTTAATTACTTTAATTATTTAATTAATCTAATTAATTGTTCAATTACTTTAATTATTTAATGTTTTAATTGTTTAATTATTTAATTTATCTAATTGATTAATTAATTTCTTTAATTATTTAATTGATTGTTTAATCATTTAATTAATCTAATTGATTATTCACTTTCTTTAATTATTTAATTATTTAATGTTTAATTACTTAATTAATTATTTAATTAATTTAATTAAATTTAATTAAGTAATTAATATATTTATAAACTAAGTGATTAAGTATATACTCATATAAATAAACAATATTGATTTATTTATTGACTTATTTATGTACCTTTTATCTTTTTAATTTATTTATTTATAAACAAAAAACATTATTTATTTAATTTATTTATTTATGAACTGAAAAGTAAATAAATATTTGTTTTATATAACCAAACAAGTAAACAATTGTTTACTTTATTACAAATAAACAAACATTTATTTCATTTATTTTTTCAGTTATTTATTTATTTATTTAATCTTTTTTTGATTATTTGTTTGGTTATTTATTTATTTATTTATTTATTTATTTATTTATTTATTTATTTACATATTTATTATTTAATTATTTATGTAATTATTATTTAATAATTTATTTGTTTATTTATTTATGTATTTAATTACAAAATAAAAAATAAAAACGAAAATAAAAGTAAATAAATGAATTATTTCTGCAGCTGCTAGAGTGGCTAGAATGGCAGATTTGGCCAAAACTGCTTTTTTTATTTTTTTTTTGGATATTTTGAAGAGTTTTTTGGAGCTTAAAGAGCCATTCGAAGGATTTAAATGATTAAATTAAATTAAATTTGGTTTAATTTCATTTAGTTCCATTTAATTTCATTTAATTTCATTTAATTTCATTTAATTTCTTTTTTTAGGAGATTGCGTTAAAGACTTCCCCGAATTGACCCCCGTGGCTATCAAGGCCGGAGAGATTTTGGCCAGAAGACTTTTCGGGGGCAGCTCAGAAGTTGTAATTTATTTATTTATTTGTTTGTTTATTATTTATTTGTTTATTTATTTTGTTTGTTTGTTTATTTATTCATTTAATTTGTTTGTTTGTTTTGTTTTATTTGGTTGTTTGTTTTATTTGCGTCATTTTGATGTATTTGGTTGTCTGCTAATTCAATTAAATAATTCATTCATTAAGTACTTATTTAATTGGTTAATAAATTTATTATTTAAGTATTTATTTAATTATTTAATTATGTAATTATTATTCAATTATTTATTTAATTATTTAATTTGTTTTAATTCATTTCTTTTTGTTTGTTTATTGGCTTTTTTGTTTATTTATTTGCAAAGTTAGTTTGGCAGTTTGGGAATTTGACAGTTAGTTGCTTGAGTGGATGTTTTAATTGATTAATTCAATTGATTAATTTAATTAATTTAATTAATTTAATTAATTAAATTAATCAATTAAATTACTAAATTAATTAATTTAATTAATAATTAATTCATTAAATTATTTATTTATTTATTTATTTATTCATTTATTTGTTTATCTATTTATCAGTTTATTTATTCATTTGTTTGTGTATTTGTTTGTTTGTTATTTAGTTATTGATTAATTAATTAGTTAATTAGCAAATTAATTAAACAATTAATTAATTGCCGTATTATTTTTCTGGTAAATAATTTAAGTAATAAATTATTTATTTATTTTATTTTATTATTTTTAAATCATTTTTTGCAACTTATTTAATTATTGGATTTAATTAATTTCAAAATAACTTTTTTTTAATTCTTTCGAATTTAACTAACTTCAATTAATTGATTTAATTAATTCAAAATATCTTCTTTCTTTTTTGCATTTTGTTTCTTATTTTAATTCTTTTTTTCCCATTTGAACTCCTTTTTATTATCTTTTTAATTCCTTCTTCCTCTATAATGCCTGTTTTCTTTTAATTGTTTAATTCTTCATTTATTTTTAATTATTTTATTTTATTTATTTTATTTAATTAATTTATTTTATTTTATTTATTTTATTTTTCAGATGGACTTTTCAAATATTCCCACAACTGTTTTTACCCCCGTGGAATACGGCTGCGTCGGACTCACTGAAGAAGAAGCAATTGTAATTATTTTATTTTATTTTATTTTATTTCTTTTTTAATTCTTTTTGATTCTTTTTTAGTGCTTTTTTAATTCTTTTTTAATTCTCTTTGATTCCTTTTTAATTCCTGTTTAGTTCTTTGTTTGATTCTTTTTTTTGGTCCTTTTTAAGTTCTTTTTTGACTCTTTTTAACTTTTTGATTCTTTTTTAATTCGTTTTTAATTTGTTTTTCTTTTTCAGTTCTTTTTTAATTATTCTTCAATTATCTTTTACTTCTCTTTTAATCCCTTTTTTATCCCTTTTTAACTCTTTTTTAGTTCTTTTTTAATTCTCTTTTAATTCTTTTTCATTCGTCTTTTAATTCTCTATAGTTTTCTCTTAATTCTTTTTTAAATTCTTTTTTAAATTCTTTTTTAATTGTCTTTTAATTCTTTTTTTAATCCTTTTTTTCACCTTTTGAAGTCTCTTTGGAATTTTTTAGTTTTTCTTTTTTCCATTTTTGTTTTCAACTTTTCTCTTTTTATTCTTTCCCTTTCTCTTTTTAATTTCTTTTTTAATTTTTCATTTTCTTGTATTGTTTCATTCATTATTCTTTTCCTTTCCTTTATTTCTTTTTATTTATTTCTTTTAATTTCCTTTATTTCTTTATTTCTTTTATTTCCTCCTTTTTTCTTCATTTTCTCTTTTAATGCGTGTGGGCATTTGTCTTCACTTTCACAAATTACTGGTTTTTTGAAATTCATTTATCCTTTTTAATCAATTAATTAATTAATTAATTAATTATTTTATTTATTTGTTTATTTATTTTATTTATTTATTTATTTATTTATTTATTTATTCAGGCCAAGTACGGCGCAGATCGTGTGGAAATTTACTTAAGTGAATTTATGCCTTTGGAGACAGCAGCAGTTCATCGGCAGCAAAAGCGGCGGAAGCAGCTGCAGCAGCAGCAGCAGCAGCAGCAGCAGCAGCAAGAGGAGGAGGAGTTCCTGGACTTGTCTCCGATTTGTCTCTCCAAGCTCGTCTGCGTGCGGGAAGACCCGAGCAGCAGCAGCAGCAGCAGCAGCAGCAGCAGCAGCAGCAGCAGCAGCAGCAGCAGCAGCAGCAAAAAAGAGATTGTTAAAGGAGTCCACTTCGTGGGCCCAAATGCTGGAGAAGTTCTGCAGGGAATGGCCCTGGCTGTCCGTTTGGGAGCAACGAAGGTTTGGAAAAAAATAATTTAATTAATTTAATTAATTTAATTTAATTTAATTATTTAATTTAATTAATTCGTTTAATTTGCCCTTATTTAAATGTCTTTTTGCCGGTTTGAGAGCTTTTCAAGTGTCTTTTCGCTTCTTGCTGCTGCTGCTAGCAGTGCTGCTGCTGCTGCTGCTGCTACTCCCGCTGCTGCTGCTGCTGCTGCTGCTTTTGCTACCCCTTCTGCTGCTCCCCCGCGGCTGCTGCTGCCACCCTGATGCTGCCGCTGCTGCTACCCCCGCTGCTGCTGCTACCCCCGCTGCTGCTGCTACCCCACTGCTGCTGCTGCTGCTGCTGCTGCTGCTGCTGCTCAGGAGGACTTCGACAACACAGTGGGAATTCACCCGACAAATGCAGAAAGTTTTATGCTGCTGCAAATCACGAAACGAAGCGGCAAAGATTGGGTTGCTGCTGGCGGCTGCGGCGGCGGCAAGTGCGGCTAGCTGCTGCAGCAGCAGCAGCAGCAGCAGCAGCAGCTGCAGCAGCAGCAGCAGCAAGCCGCAGTTTTCTCTTCTGCGGGACTTTCTAACTTTTTCTTTTTTAATTGTTATTTAGTATTTTTAATTGTCAATTAGTTTTTTATTTGCCAATTAATTTTTTTTGTATTTCGTTTTTCTCTTTTCGGAATTTCATTTTTTAATCTTTTCTTTCCAATTCAGACCTCAAGACAAACTCCTTTCATTTATTTAATTTTATTTTGTTTTATTTTATTTGTTTTAACTCACTATTCCATTTTATTTTATTTTATTTTACTTTATTCTATTTCGTTTTATTTGCTTTTTACAATTTGCCTCTTTAATAATTATATTTCCGGTTTTAATTCATTTTTGCATTTCATATTTTTATTTATTTTTTGATTTCTTCAAAACTTCTCTTTTATTTTAAATTTCTTTTTTTATTTTTTAATTTTAATCTATTGCAGCCAACGAGATCCCCGCTTTCTCTTTTTAATTTCTTTTTTTCCTTTTTATTTCTTTATTTTTCTTTCCTTTCTCTCTTCTTCCTTTCCTCATTTCTTTTTTTCTTTTTTCCCTCGCGAGAGGGAGACAAAAGGAGACAATTAAAGAACAAACCACAAAAAAGGGTTTTGTCCTTTCACTTCCCTCTACTCGTCTAGCAGGAGCAGCAGCAGCAGCAGCAGGACTAGCAGCAGCAGCAGCAGCAGCAGCAGTTCTGTCTCTATTCTCTCTAGAGACTGTTCCCTTCCTAGGGTTTAGGGTTTAGGGTTTGGAGAGAAGCAAATAAAGAAAGAATAAGAAAATTGGTTGTTTAATAGATAAATAAAATAACAAATAAATAAATAAACATAATTAATTGGCTTATTGAGTTGGTTGAGTTGAATTAAATTATTTGGATGTCCAATTAGCCACTTAACAAACTTGTTTAACCAATTAGCAAATTAAACAACTAATTAAATAACTTTAAATTAATTAAATAACTTAATCAGATGAATTAATTTAATTAATTAAATTAATTGACTTAACTAATTAAATTAATTAAATTAAATCAATTTAAATAAATAAATAAATTAATTAAATTACCTGATTGTCCAGCAGTGCAGTCACGAGAGGCATCTAAACAACCAACTAACCAATTTAAAAGCTGTTTTAACCAAACAAACAACGAATTAAAACGAATTAATTAAACTAATTAATCAATTTAATTAACTAATTAATTAATTTATTTATTTAATTTAATTAAATTAATTAAATTACCTGATTGTCCAGCAGTGCAGTCACGAGAGGCCCTCCAGTGCCGGCGGCGTTGAAAGAAGATCTTTCGAAGGAGCCGATCGCGTCGTAGCCAAAGACCGCGCCTTTGCCTAAACACATTTCATTATTTTATTTTATTTTTAATTTATTTATTTTGTTTATTATTATTTAATTCGTTTATTATTTAATTATTCATTTAATTTCTTTGTTGTTTGGCTTGGTTATTTATTATTTGTTTAATTTGTTTATTTATTCATTAATTTGCTTCGTTATTTGGTTTGTTTTAGTTATTTTGTTTTATTTAATTAGCTGTTTTAGTTATTTTGCTTTATTTGTTTATTTAATTTGTTTTGTTTAATTCGTTGTTTAACTTAATCAGTTGTTTTGTTTAATTTGATTTGATTTATTTGGTTTGGTTTAGTTTGATGTAATTGTGTTGCAGTTTGGTTTGATTTCATTTGATTTTAATTAAATTGATTAAGTAATTTAATTGAATTAATTGAATTAATTAAATTAAATAAATAATTGACTGTTTAAATAATTAAATTAATTAAATAATTGATTATTTTAATAATTTAATTAATTAATTTAATTAAATGGAAGTATACAATTAATTGTTTAGTTATTATGTAATAATAATTAAGAATCAAAAAAGGATCAAAAAAGGGACAAAAATGAGACAACTAAGAGGACAAGAAAAGACAAAAAAGAGTCACAAAAGAGACGACTGTGAAGACAAAAAGGAGACAAAAAAGAAACAAAAAAGAAACAAAAAAGAAACAAAAAAGAAACAAAAAAGAAACAAAAAGAGACAAAAAAGAAACAAAAAGAGACAAAAAAAAGACAAAAAATAGACAGAACGAGACGAAAAAAGAGAGAAAGAAAGCGACAAGAAAAGAGACAAAAAGGAGAAAGGGAGACTATTGGAAAATCGAAAAGCAAACAATTAAAGGTCCAAAAGTTCGCAATTAAAGAAACAAAAAGGAAACAATTAAGGAGTTTAAAAAAGCACAAAAAGGAGACAATTAAAGGACTAAAAAGGAGACGAAAAGGAGACAAAAAAGAGACAATTAAAGGGTTTAAAGAGGACAAAAAGGAAACAGTTGAAGAGTTTAAAAGGAAACAAAATTGAGGCAATTAAAGAACTTAAAAGCAGACAGAATGGAAACAAAAAGAGAGTTACAAAGGAGACAATTAAAGAGTCTAAAAGGAGACAAAAAGGAGATTAAAAAAAGACAAAAAGAGAGTTAGGAGGGAGACAATTAAAGAGTTTAAAGAGGACAAGAAGGCGACAATTAAAGAGTTAAAAAGAAGACAAAAATGTGACAAAGGGACCAAAAGGAGACAATTAAAAGCCAAAAAGGAGAAAATGAAAAGCCAAAAGGAGACAATTAAAGAGACAAAAAGGAGACAGTTAAAGAGGCAAAAGGGAGACAGTTAAGGAGACAAAAAAGAGAAAATAGAAAGCCAAAAGGAGAAGATAAAAAGCCAAAAAAAAGGAGAATAAAAAGCCAAAAAAAAGGAGAACATAAAAAGCCAAAAGGAGACAATCAAAGAGACAAAAAGGAAACAATCAAAGAGACAAAAAGGAGACAATTAAAGGCCAAAAAAGAGACGATTAAAGGCCAAAAAAGAGACAATTAAAGGCCAAAAAGGAGAAAATAAAAAGCCAAAAAGGAGAAAATAAAAAGCCAAAAAGGAGAAAATAAAAAGCCGAAAAAGGAGAAAAGAAAAAAGTGGAAAAAGGATTTCGGAGCTGCAAAGAAGTGCCGAGGAAAGACCTTCTTCGTCGAGGGCAAAGAGAAGGTTGAAAGTGTAGAAGGGGAAAAAACGGCGGGAGTAAAGAAGTGAAGAAAGAAGTTGCGAAAGAGCGGGTCCGGAGGGTTCCGCGCGGTGGAGGTGTCTGTACACCGCGACGCGGGCCTGCATGCACGCATGCATGCATGGAGCGCATGCAAGTGGAATCGCATTTTCTTTTTCTTTTTCTTTTTTCTTTTTTCTTTTATTTTCAAATCCCAGCTGCACACTTTCTTCTTCTTCCTTTTGCTCTTCTCTTTCGTTTGAGGGGTCGTTTGGCATTTTCGGTTTTATTAAAATAAAATAAATAGATGAAACAAAGAAATAAATGAAATAAATGGAATAAAAAATAAAAGAAATAAAGGAAATAAATGAATAATGAAATAAAGAATAAAAGGAAGGGGGAAAGAGGCAAATACAATATAAATACAAAAAGGAGAAAAGAAATGAAAAGAGTAAAAAAAATAAAAGAAAAAACAAAATGAAACAAAAAACTTTTTAATTCAATTCAAAAACCCAAAAATAGTTTTCAAACCTTCAGCAGTTTGTGAAGAGTGTTTATGTCCGCCTGCATCCCCGAGGAAGCAATGCAGCAGCGCGAAGTCCTGCAGCAGCAGCAGCAGCAGCAGCAGCAGCAGCAGCAGTGGTGGTGGGGTACGGAGAGCTGCTGCGGCAGCGACGCAGCTTGCAGCAGCAGCGCAGTCGGGACCAGCAGCAACAGCGCAAGTGCTCGCAGCAGCAGCAGCAGCAACAGCAGCAGCAACAACAGCAGCAGCACCAGCAGCGGCAACAGCAGCAAAAGCAGCGACAGCAACAGCTAGGGACAGCAGCAGCAGCAGAACACGAAGCAGAAGCAGCAAGAGAAACAGCAGCAGCAGCACCAACAGCAACGGCAGATTCCGACGGAAATCCCAGCAGCAGCAGCCGCTGCGCATGCACCTCCCCGAGGGTTTAGGGTTTAGGGTTTAGGGTTTACAGTTGGGTGATTTTGGAGTGGTGGCGAGAGTGAATGGAATAGCCCACAGACAGCCGAGTGTCTCCAACGCCAATCACAAAGTCCTCCCCAGCCACGCAAACCACCGTCCTGCAAAAACCCTAAACCCTAAACCCTAAACCCTAAACCCGAAACTCTAAACCCTAAACTCTAAACCCTAATCCCTAGGAGGCAGGAGCAAATCACCAAAGAACAGTTCGGGCTGCGCGTTGAGCGGCGCCCTCTGTTTGGCTTGCGACCGGCCTAAACCCCAAACCCTAAACCCTAAACCCTAAACCCTCGACTTTACCCCCCGTTGTTGACGTAGGGGTTAAACCCTCCTCTTCCATGTCTGCTGCTGATCTCCGCTAGGGGCAGCGCCGTTTGCTGGGCTGCTGGGGTGTCTGTACAGCTCAGCATTTTGTCTCTTTGTTCCTGCAGCCGCAGCAGAAGCAGCGCAGCACACACAGCCACGCTGCTGCTGCTGCTGCTGCTGTTGCTGTTGCTGCTGCAGTCAGTGTGCCGCTGCTGCAGCTGCTGCAGCGCGGTGCGCTGCGGTGCAGCAGCAGCAGCAGCGCAGCAGCACCAAGTAGGCTGTCTGGCACAGGCGGGGCTCGCAGCAGCAGCGCGGGACACAGACGCAGCAACTAAGCCCCAGCAGCAGCAAATGGTATTTGTTTTTAATTAATTAAGGTAAAAAAGCAAAATTAGATTCGGAAAAGAAGCAGCAGGGGAAAGAGGGGGGAGTGGCGCACAGCGCGAGTTGCTGCTGCGGGAAGGCGGAGGGTTTCGGAGCGCAGCAGCTTCTTGAGCAGCAAACTGGGAAATATGAATTAAATATCAACCCAATATCAATAAAAGTAATAAAATATTATTTTAATTTAGAAAAAAAAGGCACCGATACGCAAGAAAGACCCAAAGCAGCTGCGGATCATCAGCAGCCTCAAGGGCTGTCGGCGGCGGCGCCTCTCACGGCGAGCTGTCCATACACCTGAAATAACAACTGCAAATTCGCCTTCCAACTTTCCAGTTTTGTTAAATCACTTTTTAATAAATCAACTCCGAAGAATTACCGCATTTCGCGTTCTTCCCGCTGCTGCTGCATGCACACCAGCAGCAGCAGCAGCAGCAGCGCCAGGCCTAGCTTTCCGCGCAGCAAACGACGCGCGCCTCCTCCATTCAAACAACAAGTCCCAAAACAAATTCAAATAAACAGATTTATTCTTTTCGCAACTTCAAATAATTTCAGATTCTTTCGTTTCGTCACTTCGGGTGCTGCGTGTATTGGGGTGTACGTACACCTCGGGTGTACGTACAGCCGGCGACACCGCCGCGACCACAGAGAGGGAAAAATAACATTATCTTCGCTCACTGTTTTTCTTTTCTTTTTCTGACAAAAAGAATTAAATTAATTTGCAATTAAACTCGCAAGTGTTGCACTGCAGCAACTCTTTTCAACAAAAAGACACAAATTATTAATTCGAAGTTCAATTCCCAAGCGCTGGGCTGCAGCAACGCATGCATGCAGCTTCTGATTTAAACAAAAAGAAAAATAAACTTCAAGCGCTTTCCAATGCAACATTATATTCCCCACTTGCTAAACGAAATATATAAATGCAAATAAATAAAAATAAATAAATGCAAAATAACAATTCACTTTTATAAAGAACTAAGAATAAATTATAAATCTCCCGCTGCGCAACTGCTGCAGCAGCTGCTTCTGAATTTGCTGCTGCTGCTCGAGCAGGCCCTTGCTGCTGTTCGTTTCTGTTGCTGCTGCTGCTCTGTAAGTTGCTGCTGCTGCTCTGTAAGTTGCTGCTGCTGCTCTGTAAGTTGCTGCTGCTGCTCTGTAAGTTGCTGCTGCTGCTGTTTAAGTTGCTGCTGCTGGATTTAATTTGCTGCTGCTGCTGTATTTATTTCATAATTGAGTAATTTGTTCGGAACAAACTCGAAATGTTGGAAAAAAAAAAGCAAAGTGTCACTGGCAGCAGCCGGGTGTACGTACACCCGCGCCGCAGCCGCCGCTGCCAAGAGAAGAAAAAAGGAAAAAGAAAAATGGAAATAAAAGAAAAGAGAAGTTCATTTGCTTCTCCAAAATCTAATTTCTGGCAGCAAACACTGCAGCAGGAGCAGCGAACAGGGAAAAAAGGGCCCACGGTCGCGGCTGCCACGCCAAGTGCCGCTGCTGCTGCTGCTGCCGCTACTCTGGCAGCAGCTGCTGCTTCTGCTGCTGCGGCAGCTCCCGCTGCTGCTGCAGCCGCAGTCGCTGCATCTGTTTCCGCGCCGCTCCCACCACCACTTCCACTGCTGGACCTGCTGCTTCCGCAGCAGCCGCTGCTGCTTCCGCAGCAGCCGCTGCTGCTTCCGCAGCAGCCGCTGCTGCCTCCGCAGCAGCCGCTGCTGCACCCCCGCTGCCACGACCCCACGCCGAGCAGCACCTCCCCCACCTCCCCCACCTCCCCCACCTCCCCCGCCGCCGCCGCCGCTGCTGCTGCCGCTGCTGCTGCCGCTGCCGCTGCCGCCGCTGCTGCTGCTGCTGCTGCAGTCAGAAGTCGGCGTCGAGGGCGAAGCTCTGCTGCTGCTTGTCGCGGACCATGACGCCGGCGCGCTGGTAGTCGCCGACGCGCTTCTCGAAGAAGTTGGTTTTGCCCTGCAGCGAAATCAAGTCCATGAACTCGAAGGGGTTGGCAGCGCCGAAGGCCTTGGCGCCGCCGAGGCACTGCAGCAGGCGGTCCGCCACGAACTCGACGTACTGGGCCATGAGCGCTGCGCGCAGGTCCACTTGCGGTTGTTGGTGTTTGTTGGAGTTTGTGTGCGTTTCTTTGTCGTTTACTAGGGTTTATGGGGTTTGTTCGTGTTTGTTTGGTTTATTTGGCGTTTGTTTGGGTTTTTTTGGGTTTGTTTGGGTATATTTGGGTGTGTTTGTTGTTTGTTGCTGGTTTCATTCGTTTTGGCTTTTGGTTTGCTTGTTTGGGCTCGTTCGTGTTCACATTCACGTTCAAGTGACTCCAATTCAAATTCGAATGGTTCAAGTTCGAGCTCAAATAATTCAAATTCATGTTCAAATTAAGTGATTCACATTTAACTTCAAACAATTCATGGCAAGGATTCAAATTCACCTCAAATAACTCAAATTCACGTTCAGATGATTCAATTCACGTTCAAATAATCCAAATTGGTGCTCAAATTGAATTAATTCAAATTATTGTAAAGTGGATTCTGTTAATCGTATATTTAGTTTCCTAGAAGCTGGCGTTTCGGGACTTTGGCCTTTCAAGAAACCGAAGCTTTTGTGGGACTTTTGTGGACTTTTCTGGAACTTTTCAGAGCTTTCGAAGTTGAACTTACTGCTGTTCATTCCGATGAGGTCGCAGGGCAGAGCGTCGCAAATGAAAGCCTTTTCCACTTCCACAGCTTCCAAAACGATTTTGTTCAGAACTTCGGGCTTGAGTCTGTTCTTGAGCATGGAGTAGAGGAGGCAGCCGAAGTCTGCATGCAGCCCCTCGTCGCGGCTGATCATCTCGTTCGAAAACGTCAATCCTGCGGATCTCAAAAAGAAAAGCATTTAAAAGTTGAATTTGACGCAACTCGGGAACAAGAAAGCTCGAAACTAAACTGCAAAACGGCGAACACGCGAAATTCCGAAAAGTTGAACTGCGCCGCCGCGGCGCGGGGTGTCTGTACACCCCAACTTGCAAATTCCGAAATTCAACTTCCGCGAATTACCCGGCATAAGTCCGCGCTTTTTGAGCCAGAAAATGGCGCAGAAAGAGCCCGAAAAAAGAATCCCCTCCACGCAGCAAAAAGCCACGAGTCTTTCCGCAAAAGACTTGCTGCGGTTCATCCACTTCGCCGCCCACGCCGCCTTCACCGCCACCGCGGGAATGTTGTGGATTGCATCAAATAAATGTTCTTTTTCTTTTTCGTTGCGAATGTACAAGTCGATCAGCACGCTGTACGTACACCCCCGCCGCGCGAACCACCGCCAAACACAAGTTTCCAAACCAGCTCAGCCGCCAGTGCAACTCGCGGAAACTCCACCAACAACCACTTATATCAAACAACAAGTCCTGATCTTTT